CGCCGTACCAGAAGGAGAGAGCCCAAGAGCAGGTGGTGATGCTTCGTGCGCATCCCAGCCCAATTCCAGCGTACCATGACTGCTTGATGCTCTCTCTTCGTGGGCCTTCTTCGGCCTGCTCCAGCGTCTTCATGATCCGTTCTTGGGAAGAGAAGGCGGTGATTGTGCGGATGTTGGAGACGGCTTCGGCGGCGAGTTTGCTGCTCTGTTCTTGGACTTTAATGGCCTTGTTGAACATGTTCTTCAGAAGGACTCGTCTGGTGTAGAAAGAAATGATGACCAATGGTTGGATTGCAATCATGACCACGGCTAGCCTCCATGCGATGACTAGACCCATTGTGAAAGCTATGGTTACTGCTGAGATCGTTTGCAGTACAAGTGCCATTCTATCCCCCACCAAAGATCGCACCTGTCCAACAAAAATTCATGATGATGAATAGGAATTTTAAAATTTACAAATCAAAATAGAACTAAAAATAGGCGTATTGAATTGATATGCTTACCACATTGGCATCTTTGGATAATCTTGAGCAAATTGCACCACACGAGTGCTCATCTTGATCAAACCACCCAATTTCAAAACTAAGGATCTTGGACAGCATCATCTCCCTAACCCTTTTGGTGAGATACTCCCCCATGTACGCAAAGTTGAATGTTGGACAATGTTTATGACCAGAGAAAACACTGCAAGCCCAACAAAACACAACGCATAATTCCTTGTCTTCTCCTTAATCTCATCGGGACTTGTGAGAAAATAAACCGACACCATTGTCCCCAACACAAACGCATACAACGGCTGGACCGCTCCAAACAAAATCGCCCCAATGCACCCCATGGTCGCCTGCTTCCACTCGGTGAGATTTAGGGCCAGTAACCTTCGGAGCGAAGGGACCAATTGATTTTCCTTGTCTAGATTCGAAGCCGGTGAGAACCGGTCCAAATCTGCTGAGTTGGCAGAGTTAGACCGGCTTAAGAGCAAGAGCCGGCTGTTGCTGCTATTCTTGTCGAGGCCGTTTTCGTGCTGGATGAGTTCGTCATGTTTCTCCATTTGTTGGAGGCGGACCAGGGAGGTGTAGAGGCCGTCTTCGTGTTGGATGAGCTCGTCGTGTGAGCCCATTTCCATGACGTGGCCATTTTGGAGCACGACGATGATGTCGGCATTGCGGATGGTGGAGAGTCGATGGGCAATGATGATGGTGGTCCGACCGATGGCTGCTTTGTCAAGGGCTTCTTGGACGATTCGCTCCGATTCTGAATCCAACGCACTGGTGGCCTCATCCAGAAGGAGGATTCGAGGTCTCTTGATGATGGCTCGCGCAATTGCAATTCTTTGCTTTTGTCCTCCCGACATTTGAACTCCTCTTTCTCCCACCTAATTCAAAGTCCACACTCTTCTTTCACTAATATATCTGAGATTCGAAATCGTTAAACTATATGCTAGATAAATAATCAAAATCATTTAATTATTCAATCAATGGCCTGAATAAAAAGAACTACAAAATAGGTAAAAGAAAAATCAATCAAGTCACAAGTTACCTTATTCACAATTCCCTTGAACTTAAATATAGATTTTATGAGGCAATCCTACTTCAATAAAAATAAATAAATAGCTCGATTAAAAAATCTAATAAATCAAAACGAGCATAACTCAACAGTAATTGACATATAGCTGAGTTCGAATCCCCTCCCCCAACATGTTGTAAAAAAAAAATATTATAATGAAATAAAGTAAATTAGATATCCAACATTAAAAAAGTTAATAAAAAGTTTAATCTTGTTTTCTTTCTGTCAACAAAAAAAAAGGAAAAAGAAAAAAAAAAGAACCTCCTTTTCTTTAAAGTTACGATTATTCAAAAAGTTTCAAAAGATGTAGAATTTAACAAAAGTTTGACAAAAGATTGAAATTATTATTAATTACCTGGGTTTCGTATTCTTTTGGAAACTGAGAAATAAAATTATGAGCATTGGAAGCTTTAGCGGCCTCCACCACTTCGTCCATGGTGGCATCCTCCTTCCCAAAAAGAATATTCTCTTTAATGGAGGTCGCGAAAAGCGCCGGCTCTTGACTCACCAGACCCATCTGCGACCTTAGCCACTTCAGTTGCAGCTTCTCAACGCCCACTCCGTCCACCAGGATCGTCCCTCCAATCGGGTCGTAAAATCTCTGCAGTAGAGAAACCACCGTCGACTTTCCAGACCCGCTGCCGCCGACCAGTGCCGCCGTCCGCCCCGCCGGGATTCTCAGGGTCAGGTCCTTGAGCACCATGGTTTCCGGCCGCGATGGGTACGGAACTGCACGTTCTGGAATTCGACCTCGCCGGAGACGTTGTCCAGAACCTGCCCTTCCATGTCCGCCGAGTCGATCGCCGGTACCCGGTTTATGACCTCCATGATTCGCTCCCCGGCGGCGCATGCCTCCGAAAAGTACTCTATGTTGGATAAACTCGAACCAATTGCTCTGTCATTTCAATTAAAAAGGATGAATTGTTCTTTTTAATAATGGTGAAAGTAGATATAAATGTTGAGTAGTAAAAAATTACTTACAGTCCGCCAACTGTAATGGAAGCTCCGACGGCGAAGACGGTCCCACCATGGGCGCCGTGGTACATGACCATTCTACTTCCGTACCACGACATGAACGACCAAATCGCGAACGAAACTCCGTTACTTCCGATAGCCAAGCCTTTGGAGAATCCCTGCTTCAGCCCCAGCTTCACCGACCTTTCTAACGCCGACGAATATTCCGCCACCGTCTTCTCTTCTCCGGCGAAGGCGTACACCGTTCTGATCGACGATATCGCCTGTTCCGCCACTGTTCCGGCCTTTTCGTAACTTTCCATTCTCTTTCTCGTCAACCCCATTAAGATTTTTCCGTAGAGGAGCCCTGGGATCAACATAACCACCACGAACGGCAATCCGACCACCGCTAGTTTCCAGAATAGTACCACGGCGGCGATGTAGCATCCGAAGAACATTGCCGCATTCATTAGGAAGTTTGGGATCTGGATTAATTATTTTTTTTTGAAGACAAGAAAAAGAAAAATAGTTAACGGGAAATCTGTTGAAGAACCCATTAGAAAAAAAATAAAACAAATTATTTTTTGCTCATTTACTCTTAACACTTCGCCAATTTCAAAAATAATTTCATTGTTAGTTTGAGGTCAATTTTTATTTGGGTTTAAAAAAAAATAATAATAACTTTTCTTCAAGAAAGACACAATTTTTATGGGAAAATTTTGTTTTCATTTATTATCTGCCCTATGATACCGGTATCATTTAAAAGTAACGTTGGATCCAACTATATTAACAAATTAGGTTGGAAGAAAAATTTTAAATTCAAAGAATATAGGAATACTATAAAATTTTTAATTTTTTAGATAAACATAAAAACTATTTTAAAATTATTGAAACACCAAGAATAAATTTGGACTTTTGAGGGTAAATAGAATAATTTTGGAAATTTGATGGAGCTCTTACTACTACACGTCATACTTTTAGTTTATCTGTATTCCAATTAATGGCTAAATACATGAATTGCCAAATCAGAGGTATTATGATCGATTTTTTTTTTTTAAATACAGCTATTGTGATGATTTGAATGTGACCAAAGGGGAAAAAAAGAAATTAAAACATTAGCTCTAAATTGTAACGATTTAATATTTATTGTCAAAAAATTTTATTAAATTTTTTATACATTTAAATATATAAACCGATGAGGGATAAAATATATATATTTATAAATTAGATAGACTAAATTGTTATATAATAAAAATTGACATTGTTATAAATTTTAAACTTTTCCGTTTAATTCAACAACTAATTTGTTATCAATTTAGAATAACACTAAATATGTTTTTCAAGAAAAAAGGGAGAGAGAAAAAACCCTTAACCATTTCGCTTAAAACGTCTTGAATGACCAAGGTGTCGTTGGAGACAGAGGTGATGACCTCGGACGTGCTTGTCACGTGAAGATCGAAGTAGCCGACTTCTTGCCGGAGAACCGCCCGAAGATACCGAGCTCTCATTCTCGACGTCTGTCTCTCGGCAGTTCTGGTCCAACAGTATCCTTCTGCAGAATATTCCAACGCACAACATGATCAGATCAATTCAATTTCAGACGCCTTTAATTATATATTCAAATAAAAACGAAACCCACCGAGAAAACATGCAACAAATGCCACACATGCTACATACAACAGAGCCACCGCATTCTGTTACATTGCCCACAAAAACCCAAATGTTAAATTAAAAACGAGAAATGAATAGAGATTTGAAGAAGTTAATAAATAATATCGACTTGATTGATGTTGGTTTGAAAGGAATGTGAAGAAGAGGCGAAGCCGATGTTGTTCATCAAACGACTGGAGAGAATGAAAAGAAAGGGGCTGGTGAGGCCGTCGCCCACGGCTCCGATGAAGCCCAACGCCATCAGAAACTTGTCCACAGCGTCCGCATGCATGAAAATCGACCTTATACGCCACCCGCTTCTAGTCCTCTTAATCTCATCTCTATTCTTTTCTTTCTTCATCGTTTTCTTTTCCTTTTCACTTTCCCACTCTTTCTCAGAATCCAAACAGAACACGGCCTCAGGAACTGAAGCGTTCCCTTGAAACTAATTGACTTTTTCTGCAAGGAATTACGAATAAGAAACGTCATGAATCATCTCCTCTATATATAGCAAAATCTATACGATCGAGGCGCCAGCTGTACTGTAGTGTTTCTCACTTGTCACTGTGTTAATCTTTCTTTTTTAAGCCTTGTCTTTTAAATCAATTTTTGAATTTTTTCCCTATTTTTAATGCTCTAAATAAATTTTTGGTTTGCTTTTCAATGTAATTTTTTTAATTTGAAAATATTCCTTTTTTATTCTTCTTTTAAGTTCCTAGACAAGAATTTGAATCTTCCAGTTAGGTGTAAATATTTTTTCTTTTAACACCTCGATTGTATATGGTTGAGGGTGATTTTTTGAGAGATCCACTTGTTTTTTGGATGGGTTCGCTTGCCGAGAACCAAATGAGCCTGCAACCAAAAAATTCGACGACGGTGTGGTATTCGTTCAATGCACTCCTACCATCAAATCACTAATGAGAGTAAAAAAAATAATAGAAGTAGACACCAAGGGTTTAGTGACACGTTTTTCACGGATGGTAGTGATGGGGTCCTTCCCTTTTATAGGCGCGGTGGGCTAACCAGGAAGGACGATAGTTAGAGGTGCACGAGCACGCCAAGCGGTAAGAGACCCTGACGGGGGGTGGACGTTCTTGGTAGTTAGTGGGCGGTGCCTCCCCCTGCTAGTTTGTCCCCCTGTCGCTGCAGGTCGCAAGCTGCAGTCCTTGACGTCTTACTCGTACAGCTATATGGTAACGGCGTGCCCATATATTCATGTGTAGCATACGATGCTAATCGTCTGTGGTGTCTCACCTTGCTGTCGTCTCTAGTGCTCGACGCGTGTCCTTCTCAGATTTCTCCCTCACCTGATATTAAAAAGTTATATATATTCATATTAATACATCAACAACAAAATTGATACATAATCTATTGGTTAACTACGAGTTTAGCTTCTAAAATTTTAAAATTGTGTAGTTTATAAATGAGAAATTGAAAAATAGTACAAAAGGACCATTAGTTTTAAAATTTTACAAAAATACATAAATTGTTAATTTATATAACTACGTGAGAAAAAAAAAACAACTTTTTTGATATTTTAGAAAGAGCATAAAAAATAATGATACTTTTATAAAAAGATATTTATTTTATGTCACATTTAGTATAATATTCTGTTTATTAAATTTTATATCATTTTTAGTTAATAAGTTGTTGATTTATAAAATCTAATGAGTTGGTTGACTAACTTTTAATTTTCTACTTTAAATAAATTTAAATTGTGTTCTTTGTCTTCTTGTTTTTTCTGAGTAGATCTAACCAATTGAGGTAGGAGATTTGAACAAAGAAAGAAATAGTTTCAATAACATTTTGTCAATTGTTTTTTTAATTTTACTCACTAGATAGTTGGGCAAATTATATTTTCAAAAAAAAAAAAACAAGAAAACAAAATAGGAATCTTTGTCATGTACATATCAAAAAATTTAATGATTTTTTTAGACGAATATCATGGATTAAATTATATATTTAAATATTTAAGTATTTAAAATAAAATAAACATCATAATTTAAAGATCCAAACTTTATAGACAATTTTTAATGTAATTTCGGTACTTTAACTTAATTTTTTTTTTTTGATCCATAAAGTTTTAAAATTATATTAGATGTTGGAATCCTCTTTTTTTCAGAAAAAAAAGTTAATTAAAAATAAAACTTTTAGCTTCTAAACTTCTAAAATCTCAATTTAGTAACTTACTTTGAATTACTTTTCACATATATGTAAATTTTATTATAAAATTATTGTATTTGACTATCAGTTTTATAATAATAATAAGAAAATGATATTTTTCTTTTATCCGACTTTAAGAAAATGATATATGTACACTCTGAAAATGGAAGTTCCATGCAATTAATGTGTCATTAAATGGACGGAATTACTAACCTGTTTAATTAAAAGTTCTAAAGAAAAAATTAACATATATATAGAAGAAATTTAAATATATAGAAGAAACTTTGAAGAAATTTTTTTAACTAACGCTTTCTCTCAATTGGAGCGCAGTTATTAGCACTTTTTGTATGTTTCTTACATTGGTATCTTCTCCAAATATAAATATATATATATGGAAGAACATTTCTTAGACAATAATAATTCTACTTTTTTATATATATAATATTTAAATTATCCCTCAGCATTGTAATAATTAAAAGAAAATACGCATACTCCACGTAATTATTTAAGATAGTGGGAATAGGTAACACTTTCCTACAATTTCTCTTCCTCTCTCTCGTATAGTTTAACTATCGTAATTTATTATATTATTTTAAAATATTATAAACCTTTCTACCTTCCACAATCAAAATATAAACTTCTAACTTCTTATTTTCTCATACTTTTCCTTTCATAGCCAATACCATTTATCTTAATAATTTATATATATATATATATATATATATATATATATTATAATTTAAAAACTACAATCTTTCAGAAAATGTTTTTGGATAATTTTCTTTTTCTATAAAATTTTAAATTTACAAAGCACATACTACTAAAAATTTACTAATAACTATTAAATGATAATTAATTTAACTTAAATCATAAAATGTAATATATGAAAAATTTTGTATTAATTTATATAAATTAATTCATAATTATAACTCATAATTATATTTAATTTTTTAATGTAAAAAGTTTGAAACTTTTTCCTTCCTTATAACTGTAAAATGATTATTTTTAATTATATCTTTTATATAAAGTTGGGAAGGGACGATCATGTTTTGATTTTCTAAAAGAATGTGAAAGCATCATGTCTGAATTCAATTAAAAGGTCGTTTCTTTACGAGACAGACCAACTATTTTTCAAGCATTATTTTTTAAAATAGTTTCATGGAGCATATTTTTTGAAATAGTTTTAAAAATAGCAATATTAAAAAAAGTCCATTGATATTGATATATATATATATATTTTAGTACCATTGATATTGATATTAAAACTATTAATTAGGACAAAAACTTTTGAGCTCTCTTTATCAATAAATTGGGTGATTAATTTAACAAAAACAGCTTTTAAGATTACCAAACCTTTTCAACTCTCTCACACACACGATGGATTATGGATTTTTTCCTTCGATTTTTTGACATACAAATGAAGTTGGGTAAATTAATTTGATCAAATTGCAATTTCCAGGAAAATTAAGTTTGTTTAAAATATTGCAAAGATATCACCCAAAAGTAATTGGGTATATAGCAAATTGAAGTATTAATGTAATTCTATTTCAATATTTCCAATGTTATGGGTGAATTCTAAGCACCTGCACATTGTATAAATAAATAAATAAATAAATAAATATATATATATATATATATTTTAAGCGCCCCGTGGTGCTCTCCTAAGTGCGTGTGGATGTGGTGCACGGATTCAGATCCCTCTGAAGTCAAAGAAGAGGAAAGAGGTCGAATACACTGAATCAAAGTTGAGCTTATGCAAAAGAGTGTGGAGCGCAAAATGATCCATTATTCTCCCTTTTTAATCCAAACTTTCATATATATTTATTTTACACACATATTATATATACATATATGCACTTTTTAGAACCTCCAACTCCAATCGCAAAAGTATTTAGAAGTTAGAAAAGATTACATAATTGAATTCAAAAGAACAAAAAAGACAATAATCTTACTAGCTACTTTCTGATTAAAAAAAAGGAAAAAAAAAATTACCATCTCCATCTTCTAGTGATTAGAGCAAAATGATGCATTCTCTACAATTTCTTTGAAAGGTTCAGAAAAGAGTTCGATATTCTCTTCTTCTCTTTGTAAATTCGTTTTCCCACTTAATTAAAAAATAAGAAAAAGTCGTCACTGACATTAGATATTTGAATTTTACTTCTGAAAATTTCCTCACGACTTATTTGTTGCCAAAATAATAATAATAATAATATTGGAATGCCCTGTAATTTATTTATGTATATAAATTAGATAAGGTGAAGTCAAAAAGTTTATGAAACGTTAAAAAATAGATAAATTGAATAAACTAAAAATAGATTTGGTATGACTTTTTATTTTTAATAAATTAAAATTACTTTTCAAATTTTTACATAGTAATTTTAAAAAATTCTAAAATTTTAAAAACACTTTCACCTATTTGGAAAAAGCCCTATTTCGTCTAGAACTATTTATGGAAAAAAAAATGGTATCATCTAAAGTCCTCTCATGAAAAGCCATCCAATAACTTTGAGTGGTCAAGGTTTGTAATTTACAAAACAGTAATGGTCGTCTATTTTTGTCCAATTAAAAAAAATTCTAATAAACAATATTTTAGTCAATATATTACCTTCAAACAAGATTTATATAAAAGTAAAAATTTGACCTCTATAACAGGGTCTTTATGAAAATAAAAATGAATAACAAATTGATTCATAAATAAAAAATTGTTCTAACTGCAGATTGTAATGCAGTTTTCTAAGTCCAATTTTCTTCGAAATTATACACAAACATACTCAAGAAGTAGTATTGTACAAAGCCGTTATGCCTGCAATGTCATCGGCATGCAAACCCTTGGTAGCTCCTTGCATGATGGTTGGCCACATGATAGCCCCTTCAACGGAGCTGTGATGGAGGCCGAGAAGGTGTCCAATCTCATGCAACGCCACCGTCTCCACGTCGTTTGAACCGGGAACGGCGCCAACCGCCCAACGCTCAACGGCGTCGAAATGCAGCCTCCCATCTGTGGGTGAAAATGCATGGGCTATGNATGACTCCTCCGACACCATCGAAGGGATTACCGTCCCCGTGCTCGCCACTTTCAAAGCTTATTTTGATGTCAGCCGTTTGATAGGAAGAAGCTTGGGAGAAGGTGAAGTGAGTGTTCGCAGCCCATGTCGTAAAAGCTCGGCTCACAGGACTTATCGCCTCCGATGGGGTTCCCGGGAGGAATCCTATTTATAAGGGAAAAAAAATTAAATTTCAAAGAATAGAGTAGGAACCGGCATAAAGTATTTAGAATATGAATAAACTATTAAATTTACCGTAAGTGAGGTGGGATTTAGTAGCTGGCCACCTAGGATTTCCTTCAAAGAAGGCGAAGTGAGAAACTGTGCGGAAATGGCCACTTATTTTTCTATGTTGATTCATTTTCTTCCCAG